CCTTAAGGTACACGGTAAGTTTTCAGACCCTAGATATAGCTAATGAACAAATAAAAAACAGCTAACATGCGGTGTGAAAGTGGATGCAGATCAGGCAGACCGTAGTCTGCGAAGACGACGAGGCAATGACAATCGGAGTCTTCCAAACCGAGGATGTCTCATCGTCTGTATGATGTGGCTAAGTTTCTTACAAGAGAGTGAAGCCAGTGTTCCTGGTAAGCTGCTTAGTGAAAAGCACGTTAAGCTCACGGAACTTCGAAAGAACGGCTTTGAAGTTGTTGTAAATTATCGCTGAAAGATTGGCGCGTGTTCTTTTCACATCATTTTGCCATCCTTTCGCAGTTCTATCGTGAGATCCTGGGGTTCGCGCGTGCTGCAGCTGAAAGCGCACAACGTTGGCACTCATCTTAGCATCATCATCATGAGGGACATATGACTGGGTGTTATTGAGACTTCGCACAGTTCTCATCTCTTCTTTCTCATCAGGACTTGGGTCCGTCAGAAGCGGAGTTTCAGAAATGGCCATTGAGTATATTAAGGTAGGAAGCTGTATTTTCAGTTAAGCACCTAGCTGAATGGGCTTTTGAATTAATGTATTTATTTGTTTGAATATGCGAAACATAGCAGCGTCTTTCAGTACAAAAGAATAGCAACAAGAAAATGAACTGCAGACGTTCACGTACGCTAGTTAAGTAGCTATCTAAAACTTTTATCAGCATGAGACGATGGGTCTTTCATGATATGAGCTAAGATATGAATCACTGAATTTCGTGGCAGTTCCTTCAGACAGTAGATGTTGAGTAATTTTATTGTCGTACTGGGGCTGTAGGGATGTACAGGCAGCAGAGTTAGCTGAAGCGGATGGTTGCTGTTGGATAGCGTACCGGTCCTCACGCGCAGGAAAGTTTTTAGGATGCGTTACACCGGTACTTTGACAAGAACAGTATCGAAACAACAATTACCCACTGTCTACTTGGAAGCCTGAGCAGAATGCAAAGATCAGTTTTTAGTAGTCCAAAAAATTGGTGGAAAAGACAGGTAAAAAATGGAAGAATGCATGATTTGATGAATATATGCAGAATAAATTGTGGAGCCCCCACTTGCCTCAGATAAACCAAAATTGTGCACGCTCTTCCGCGTTTTATCAGGAATAAAGTTCATATGCTGGGACCATGACAAATCTGGAATCTAAAGCTCTTCGATTCTGCACTGTGGTATTAGGTAATTAATTTAGATGTTTGGTTGTGGTTACGTATGACATCGTTTTCTAAGAAGTTATGGGATGCTCTGAATTGAATCATGAGAGAGACAAAAATATAAATACGTGTTGCTGACATTATTAAGCCATTAATGCAGTCTGGAATTGATTCTTCAAGCATTGTTACATCATGAGTGCTTGACGTTGAGTCTGTTGTGCAGAATTAAAATATCTTTAGTTATTCAGTCGTCTCTCATATGAAATGCCAGAGATGTTGACTATCAAATAAACAGAGTTCATTACGGCCATTGCAGTGAAAAGACGAAACAGGCGGATGACCTCAAGCGACGGCCTACATCACCACATAAAGAAAACTCTTGCACCACGTGCAAGCGACCACTTGCGGCATCGATTAGAGAAAACGCGGTATCATAACGCTTATAATTGCTTAAGAAATTCGGCGTGCATCTGCATATAAGCGATCCTTCAGCCGTCTGAAAATAATGTTGTTTCTGCGGTTGCTCCACTATCACTCCGTACTGATGAGCTGTCCGCCTTCCTATGGCCGGCCGCTACAAATACAGATTTGTATCTGTTTGAGTTTTTTTCTAAAAAGGTTTTTTAGACAGCGAAGTAGCTATGGGACAGTTCGGATAGGTTTGAAATCCTTTGCCTGATGCCAGAGAAAAATTTCGGGAGCAGCGAGAATCAAGAATCGATGTAGACGAGCATAGTCCGAGCGTTTATAACATCTCAGGGGACTACAGAAGCGATCTACGAGTCTCTCGAATAACTTGTAATGCTATTACTCGAATTTTCTGAACAACTGTCAACAGTTAATTAGTACAAAATGAAAATAATAATTTTTAAAAAGTAGAGTGTTTGCAGATGCTTATAAAAGAAGAATACTGCTGTCGAAAAGCATGACGCTATATACTATGCTTTGTCATACAGCTGTAGACTCTACCTTTGGAATAAGACACTCGTAGTTCATTCGTTGAAACAAAGATTAATACCCTGTAATTAACTTCATGAAAAGAGAAAGACGCCAGAAATGTTCCCAACATGAAAATGTAATTGAGACTGACGTATCAGGAGTTACAATCTTTCAATGTTTTAATATGTGCATCAAATAGGTTATGAAAATTCAGTGATCGAA